ACGCCCCGTGCCCTCGCTGGCATGCAGAAAGAGCTTACCCGAGCCTTGACGTCCCTCACAAGATCCAGATAAACCATCCCCGGCTTCACCATCAGCATGTCCGCTCCCTCGCGCACATCCCGGTCCTGTGAGGGGAACACACGCGCGACCCAGCAGCTCGGGGTAGAAGAGCATTCTCCAGCAATCCATGGTTGGGTTTTCCCAGGAGGGATCCGAGAAGGGTTTGGCGAGCTAATGGCCACAGGACCCCACAAAAGGGCTGGGATGGGGGAGAGCTGACCCTCTCCTCCCCAGACGCAGTGCCTGGGGAAAGCCGGTGGCACCCCGAGCCGCAGCAGCGTATGAGGTCACCAACTCCACGGCTCCCAGCGCGTGGTCCTCATGCCACTGGGGACCAGCTATCTGGCAGGCTGATGTGCCTCCTGTTTCTCTTGCTTGCGGAGGGCGAAAACCCTTGACCATTTTGGCTGGCGTGTCTCCTACCGCCTTTTGACTCCAACACCCCTGGGCTTGCTCTCCCCAAACCCTGCTGCACTGCTGGGTGTGAAGGCTTGTCACTTGGGTACCACGTGAGGGTTTTCCAGCCCCCACAGCCATAAACACATGACCCTTGGTGCTGCCCTGGGCAGCTGGACCCCGGCTCACTCACCACGGCGCGGATTGCCAGGCCCCGGGCGCCTGGGGGCAGCTGGTAGCATCGCCTGTCTCCGAAGGCGGGTTTGGATAGTGCAGCATCCCTGGTTGACAGGCAAGGAAGAGGGAAGGGGATGAGGACCAGCACAACTCCACATGCCTCTTGCCCCACAAAGCTTCAAAAACATGAGAACAGTCTAGGACAAGTGCCTGAGCCATTTGGGCCAGGAAAAGAGTGGCTCTCCCGATCCGACTCAGCACACCAAGATCACTCTGGGAGGTCCAACAGGTCCGGGATGCCCCTGAGAGCCATGCTTCAACACCTGCTGCCCTCCCCATGCTCAGTGTGGGGTAAGATTGTGTCAGACACTTTGCTTTTGCTGTTTTCCAAGGCAGGTCCCTCAGGGATGCCCTGCTGCGGTCAGGCTGTTCTTGGGGTGAGGTCTAATAGCTGAGCTGTGGCTTGTTCCTAAAGCCACTCTTTGGAGCAACAACAGCTCCTGTGACTCCCTCTCTCACTGCTCCTGGCAGTTCCCTCTCTACCTGCCCTGCCACCCGCACCCCAGACGAGCAGGTGGAGGGGTGGGATGGAAGACCACCCAGCTGATCTCCCACCAGGCAGCCTCTCTTGGGCAGGTACATTCATCTCCCTTTTGCACTGGGAAGTGGGAGGAGGGCACTCCAAAGCGATCGGTGTGGCCCCAGCAGTGCCCCAGGCCCCTTTCAAAATAGCTACCCAGGAACACAGCCCGGTGCTGGCTGGAGACACTCCCGGCCGAGGGGCAGACCCACCTGAAGGGACCGTAGAAGCAGGAAGCAAACTTGGCGCTGTAGCTCATCACCGAGACCTGCAGTTGAGCAGAGCCGTGAGGGCCAGAAGCTTGGTGCTGCATCCCAGCACCAGGGCAGCAGGGATTCCCTCCCGTGGCTATCGTATACCCTGCCCCACATCCTCCTTTCCCTGCCAGAGGCCTGGCACCTTGCTGTCCCCACATCCAGCCCAGGACATTCCCTTCTTGTGTGCACCGGGGCAGGGAAATGCCCATGGCACATCCTGGGCAAGCTGGGAGTTTGCTTCTGCCACTGCTTGCCCAGGTCCTGCTGCGGTGCAGCCTCCCCGTGGGTGTCATTCCAGCCTCTGACAACGCGGATCCTGAGCTCACCTTGTTGCCCAAGTCATGGGAGATCAGTGCCTTCTTTATGGCCGCGACGCGCCCATCCATCATGTCTGAGGGGGCAACGATGTGGCAGCCTGCAGGGAAAGACCAGAGCGGCCGGGAAGCGCCTGAGGCTGTGATTGCCTGCAGGAGGAGGGGTCTCAGGGCCAAAGGGGCCCTGGGTACCCGCAGCTCTGCCGGGCCAGCGTGTGGAGGACAGGGAGAGCCTCCCCGTCTCGGCACAAAAGCACTCCCAGCTGGAGCCAGGCCCAGTTTGCTTTTGGGCCTGCTGAAAGAGAGGGGACGAGTTTCTGAGAGTCAGGCTCGGGCACTGCTGCCAGGAGACTCCTCACCTGCTTTGGCGTAGGCCAGTGCCACCTCTGCCAGCCGCTGGCAGCTGAGGTCGTTCTGGATGGTGCTGTCTTCACGCAGGATGCCTAGGAGACAAAGCTGGGGTTGGACGAGGTGCCAGACAGCCAACTGCCTCGATCCCTAGGGTGGGAGCGTGGCTCTCGCTGCAGAGGTGCTCAGAGGGGAATGTGCTGAGAGCTGGATAAGGAGCGGAGGACCAGGAGGCCGGCAACGCAGCCATGCAGGGACTGGACGCAACACGTGGGTGCTCCGGGGAAGGGAAGACCGAGATGGGGTATGCAGACAGGCTCTCAGACAGATTCAGATGGCCAGGGAGTGGGTGACTTAACCACCCGTGCTCCCACCCTGCCCTCAAAACCCAGGAGAGGTCACCCAGGCTCAGCTGTTCAGTACTGGGGAGCCAAGTCCGGGGGCAGGAGCTGGCCAGGCCCCACCAGCACGTGGAGCTCCTCAGTGGAAAACAGCAAACACCCAGAGACTCCCAGGCCCGGGAAGGTGCCCAAGAGCAGCCCGGGACCCCAGGCTGTGCACTCACCGCAGTGTCCGTGGGAGGTGTAAGGGCACAAGCAGACATCGCAGGCAATGAGCAGCTCCGGGAAGGTGGAGTGGATCTTCCCGATTGCTTGGATGGTAGGTGTGTCCTCCGCATCCGCAGCAGAGCCTCTCTCATCCTGCGAGAAGAGAAATGCTTCAGCACACAGAGCCAAGGGCTTCCCACCAGCTCCTCCGTGGCAGCAGTTCTGCCCGGGAAACCTTTTCTGAACCGCGAGACCCTGCAGCGCAGAGCTCTGTGACCACCAACCATGGAAACGGGTGACAGAGCAGTGCCTCTGAGCAGGGAGTGCAAGTCTCGGGGCCACCCACAAGATCTCTGTGAGCTTTTTGAGTGGTGCTAGTCTCCCATCCCTGTCCTGCTCTGCTGAGCAGGGTGGAAGCACACCCAGAGACCCCGAACCGGACCGATCAGGAACCCCCAGCCCCGCACTGCTCTCCCACACCTGTAAGCCCCCTGCCACCACCTGACCTTCTTGATCTTGCTGGGCACCCCAAAGATGAGCACACACTTCAGACCGTCCTCAATGAGGGGCCGCAGCATCCCCTCCAGCTTGTTGACTCCATACCTGGGAAGAGCAAAGCAAAGGGGGCTGCCAGGCACCCAGACCTGCTCCTGGTGCGAGCTGGCCTGTGAGTGATCCAGCATCCACAAGCATCCATGCCATGCAGAAGCTGGAGATACAGGGGAGGTGTTGCCTGAACGATGGGAGGAACAATCCCGGGACCTTATCTGGGGCTACAGGAGCGTTATCTACCCGGCATGGACAGTCTCTGCTCTGAAAGAATGAGCATGCCCTGCCCTTGGATCCCTTATCTTGGCCTCCCTGCTGCAGATCCAGCCCACCTCCCCACAGGACCATCCCCCTGGGGCCTCTATGACCACAGCCCTGATAATGCAGCAGCAGATGAAGATGGGAGCTGCTGATCCAGCTACATCTAATGCATGATCAGAGCCCTTGTCCTTGTGCAGGTTTTCTGGCTGCTCCTGGAAACCCTATTTGCTTCCAACTTCCCTGCGTGCCCAGCCCACATAACGTGAGTACTAGGGGACATCACGCGACCCTGGCACTATCCCTTCCAGTACTGGTACCTTCCCAGCATCCCCAGTATGATTCCCTCCACTTCCATAGCAGACAAATGTTCCCGCCCAGTCTGATGCTGGAGGATCCCCAAAGCAGGGACCACGGTGTCACCCCTGGCCCATGCTCATCTCAGGCCAGACATCAGCCCTGCTCAGTCACGGGGTCTGGCAGTGACTGGCACGCAGCTCAGAGGGGCCGGGTTTTTACCTGGCTTGTCCAGGGAGGCTGGGGATGGGCTCCACTGCATCAGGGCTGTCACTGCAGGAGAGGGATGGGACAGAGATGTGAGGACTCAGTGTAAGAAGGAAGCCCCTACCCCAGGCGTGTCCACAGGCACCTTTTGAGGAGCCTGAACCTAAGAGCTCAGGGAGCACCTAAGCCAGTCAGCCTGAGCTTGGTCCCTCCCTAGCCCAGAGAGCCAGGGCCCACTCACGTGACAAAAATGGGGTAGATGAGGTTGGAGGCATCAAAGCTGGTCGCTGTACACTGCCAGGAGCGTAGCACAGGGTGGAAGTAGCCGCTGTGAAGAAGGGAATCTGCCTGCATCTTGGGCATTCACTAGGAGACTCTGAAACCAAAGAAACCGGTGGGCTGCTTAGTGGCGGTGTCCTGGAGAGCCACTGCTATCGGCGCACGCGAGGAGGGGGCTGCGATCCATCCTGGTCCTGCTCCGGGCACATGTGGGGAGCAGCCTTCTCCCGGGTCCTCCCTGAGCCAGGACCCTGCACCAGCAGTCACAGCAAGGCACTTCCTGTAAACAGGGACAATTCCAACTCCTCCCTACAGAACCTCCCAGTTCTGCGTGTGAAACCACCGATTTACAGCTACCCGCATCCTCCGGCGGCAGAACCACATTCACATGGTTCAACACTACCCCCTCCTTAGGCTCCATCTGTTTGAGCTTGTGTAACTGTACCAGCGGTTTTCTGATGATGAGACAGTCATTGCTTAATTAGTTTCACTTTTGCTGAATGCTGTATAATTGTGTGCTACGGCTGTTGTATACGTGCTCTGCGTGGCACCAGGTATTTACAGCCACAGTGTACAGGTGCAGTTACAAAAGGTGCCAGTGCTGGATGAGCCAGAGGTGCTGGATCATCCCAGAGACACCAGGGCTTTAAACCTAAAAACTGGGTAAGAAACACCAGCTGGGGAGTCAGGCCAAACTGATTTCCCAGGTAGCGAAGGGAAATTACCCAACATACCTAAATCAAGTGTCAGATATATTATTTTCTGTAGCAGTATTTTCTTTTTCTGTAACAGTTCCATCTAGCAATAATTCTATGGTTAGACCATTAAGATTTAAATTTCCACTAGCACTCAATTCTCACCGACATGTGGTTGGTGAGAGCGTGACGGAAGGGGCTGGGGGAAGGCGGCTGCCCCGGGACGAGGCATTTGGCTGCAGCAGAAGAGAGCAGCTGCGACAGCCAGGACACCCCAGGAACTGCAACCCCAACATCAGCCTGTTTGTACAGAGCGGCTCCAAGGACTTCTGTTGGCTGCACACACAAGGCCGCGTCCCACAGACCCCAGCAGAGGAGCCAGGGGTGTCCCGCGAAACAAACAGCAAAGTCCCGACCGGAGACCACTGATTTTGGTCTGAGAACTGACACACAGGGAGGCAGCAGGAGGAGAGCTGGAGACAGGCTGCCGGGAGAGTAAGCAGGATTCCTTTGCTGGCACCCCCCGGCAAGGGAGGGCTTCCCACAGGAGACAGAGCGGACATGAGGATGGGACCTGTCTCAGGGGAGCAGCCCCACAGCCCCCAGTCCCACCCCAGGAGGAATTTCCATGGCAATAAACCTCGAGGACCGCTCTCTCCAGAGAGCACAGGTCTCACTCGCCATCCCAGGACACAGTCCCGGGGAGAAGGTTTTACACCAGCACCCACAACAGCAGTCAGCCACGGAGCTGGGCAGGAGAGGGCTCCTTTCTTCTGCAAAACCTTTAATTTGAGGTGTTCACCTATTTTACACACTCAGGATCCTTCAGATCCCAGCCTGTATCAGGCCACCCCAGTGCACAGGGCACCTGTAACACAGGAGCGTCGCGGTCAGTCCAGGGCTTGAGCAGAGTCTCTCCTACCCTCTGCTTGGGTATGGGGGAAAAGGCCCCTCTCAGTTACTCACAGGCTTACCCATACTGTAACGGAGAGGAACAAAATCAGGTGGTGCTGGCGGGGGGTGCAGACCAGCCGCCGGGCATGCTGGCATTGGCACAGCACCACCTGGCACGCAGCATTTAGCCCTGGAAAGTTGCCGCTCCAGTCCTTACTCCCGGGAAGGGGACAGCCCTTGGGCGAGCCAGGGTCAGCACAGAGGCTGAGGCAGGGCTCCAGGCAGGGCTCCAGGCAGGGAGCCATCGAGAACAAAGGGCTCACTGAATAAAAACCACCTCGAGAATCAAAAAAATACTTGAAACAGTTAATCCCGCAGGAGGAAGGGGACAGGGTGGAACCAGAGGCACCTGACTCTGTATGGGGCAGATAGGGACCCCAGCTCCAGAAACTGCCCTCTCCGGGGAAGCAGATGGGCACCCGGTGAACTGCCGAGCGGAGATAACGGCCTGGACGGGTGGGCCCGGTGAGCACCCTTCTGCTGCGAGGCCAGGGGCACCGGGGCCCTCCTTACAAGCCCCGTGCGAAGGAGGAGCTGTGGCCAGCCGAGGCTGCCGGCTCCCCTTGCCCACGC